AATAGGGAGATGTAGGGGATAACTGGGTCTTCACTGAAACATCCATGTAACAAATATTAAGAGCAATTCATGATTATTTTTACTTTAAAGGTCTCTCTGTTCCATTTTTCTCACAGATTCATCAGGGGCATAGAATCCTAAGAAAACCAGAAAAAGCTTAAATGTTACGAAGAATAAAAGAATTAGGAAGAATTAATCTAAGATTAATTAGATTTCAAAATATTTTATATTCTATTTTAAATAAATAAGATCTAACTCTCCTCAATACTTTCAGCCTTTTCATTTTTATGTAATTCCAATCTATAAATTATTCTGTGGGCTTTCAAGTCTCTTTCTATCATTTATATAGCACATAAAATTGTTTCTTTGAGGCAAAATCTGAGACTTTTAAGTAGAAATTTTAAAATTCAACAAGTATTATTTATTGAGCTCCTCAACTTGAAATTAGGTCAAGTTAGAAATACAAAAACACATAGTCTCTGTCCCCAAGGATTTTTATTTATTTATTTAATTTTAAAGATTTTATTTATTTATTCATGACAGACAGAGAGAGAGGCAGAAACACAAGCAGAAGGAGAAGCAGGCTCCATTTAGGGAGCCTGACATGAGACTCGATCTGGGTCTCCAGGATCATACCCTGGGCTGAAGGCAGTGCCAAACTGCTGGGTCATTAGGGCTGCCCTTCCCAAGGAGTTTTAAAAATCCTCAACATTTAAACTTTTTCACAGATTTTTCACTTACTGTATCACAGCAGAAAGGATAAAGGCTTTAGAGGCAGACAGTGAAGTTGAGTTTTTCAGCTTTATTAAGGGGTAAAAGTAAGTAAGTTTTTTATCCCCTCTATGCACTGACTTCTTCCTCTGTAAAATAAGGTTAACATCATCTCCCCTGAAGAATTTTAAGTACAGGGGTGCCTGGGTGGCTCAGTTCATCAAGTATCTGACTCTTGATTTCAGCTCAGGTCATGATCTCAGGGTCATGAGATCAAACCCTATGTCAGGCTCCATGCTGGACCTGGAGTCTGCTTAAGATTCTTTCTCCCTCTGCCCCTCCCTGCTTGCTGTCTCTCTCTTTCTCAAAAAAAAAAAAAAAAGTCATAAATACAATTAAAGTATCTAGTAGAATGTTTGACCTAGATAGGATCTATTGTAACCACTTTTCAGTACTAACCAATCAGGACAAAAACTCAAACTATTTATACTAATAATTATCATCCTATCTTTCAGGAAATGGTATCAGAACCAGATTGCATACAGATGGGCATGTAAAAAGTATAAAAATTCAATCTGATGCTATCTACTTCATATCATCTTATAAAATACCCAACACGTTTCTAATTAATAAAGAAAAAAGGCAAAACCCATTTTGAAGAAATAACATTATATAAGTCATATGCACAACATAGTCAAGAGCCTCCCAAATAAGTACGCTGTTTCTTTTCAAGCATACTTGGCCCAGTAAGTGTTTAGGATTTCCACAAAACCAACTTATGTCAATAAAAAAACTACTTCTTAAGGCTAGAGTCCCTAGGTCTTAACCCCAGAGGCTCAGCAGCTGCCATACAGGGTAGTTTGAAAAACTGAGACTCCTCTTTTTTGACAAAGAACAGCATCCATGAAAGCTTTTACAGCAATTGTTGATTCATTAGTTACCTAAGAAAAGACCAAATCATCTTTTGAACCAAGTATAACTCTCCTACTGAACTTACCTGTAATAAAAATATTTCAATACTCTGAAGTAAAGTTAACATGCCTCCTACCATTCCAACTTAGAAATAGAATTTTAGAGTAAAAAAAGACCTTACGTCTCTGTTTCTCATCCTATTCCCATAGCAATTTAGCTAAGAGGAAACAAATTAAGAGAGTGAGGGAGGGATTTCCCCAAGATACATGGCTATCCAATGGCAGAGACTAGCGTAGACAGACTTCAAGGTACCTGACTTCCAATACAGTGTTCTGCTTACAAGAGTAAGCTTCTACTTCTACTATAATAAAGGAATGATTTACGCATATCTGGCTAAGGCACTAGAAGACAGCTCTGAAAATATGTTTCAGTTATTACTTAGTGGGCTCTCAATTAATAAACTTTTAGCCAATGTGAAGAAAATAATGAGGACATATTCCAAAAACTAAACATTACCAGCTTTTCGGAATTTAACGGACATTAAAAATTGCTGTGACTATTTCTAAGTCACTTCTTCTTCTTCTTCTTTTTTTTTTTTAAGATTTATTTACTTATTTGAGAGAGAGAGAGAAAGAGAGAGAGAGAGAGAGCAAATGCACACTGGATCAGGAGCAAATGCACACTGGATCAGGGGGAGAGGAAGAGGGAGTCTCCACGGAACTCCATCTCACAACTCAAGAGATTATGACCTGAGCTGAAACCAAGAGTTGGTCACTTAACTGACCATAACACCTGGGTGCCCTAAGTCACTTTTAGTAAAAACAATAACAACAACAACAAAAAACAAGTTATAATATAAAGCAAACAAGCAATCAACATACTTAGAGTTGAGAGAATTGATTTTTCTGCCACCAGATGCAGGAATCCTTTCTAGGACATTCTTTTTTTAGAACTTTTTTAAAATTTCATGTTCAGCTTTTCAAATTTTTAAAGCCAGTGATCAATCTAGTCATTCTTTATTCTTTTTCTTGATAAATATATCTAGAATATTAAAAAGTACTTGTATATACATAGCTCATACAAATCATATTCAGCTCTGTTCAGTTCAACAAAAGTTTATCAAGCCCCATGTATTGTGCTAGGTCCTGGAGGTACAAAAAGAAATGAGACCTAGTCCTCGTCCAGGACTAGGAATTTACAATATAGTAGAGGAGAAAAGCATATAGAGAAATTGCTTCAATCTAGTTAAAAAAAATTTGCTAAAATAGATCATGTAAAATAAATAGTTAGGTACAAAATTAGAGAACAAGGAAGGGATCTGAGTGAAAGATACCAAAAATACAACAGTGAGCATTTTGGCATGGTCACACATTTGGATCCAAATTCCTGGATTGAAATTTCTATATAAAATGCCAAACAATAGTTCAACCTAATCTAAACAAAGTGTAATGGTTCTTAGTAATAAGATAGAATAATGAGGGAGACATTACATTATGAGACAATAACATGAGACATTACAAGTGTACATTTAAACAATTAATTTTAACTAAAATAAGATAACTTATTCTAAAGCAGATCTTAAAATCAATGACATTATACATATTCATAAAGAAAGAGACTGGTTACTGGTTTCTAGCATTAAGAGTGAAGTAATATATGTTAGAACGAAATTATTTGGTATGACATCCAAGAAAACATTCTTCCTTTTTTTCCATGAACATTCAGATAATTAAAACGTAAATGTTCAGGATTCTCAAAACAATAGCAAGTACAATTTATTGTTGGAATGTTAATTTTTTCCTTGACCAAGAAAACCTAAAGATGGAATTTGGTTGAATGATATTTAAAGTAAAATAGATTAGATCTTGAGTATCAGAGTTGAACTTTATTAAAGCTGTCACCTTTAAATTATTTTGAACTATTACATGTAAGAAATAAGATTAAAATTTCCTCTGACTATACAATTTTATGCAAGATCCAAAATGCAGGTCAACTTTCCCTGTGTATCTTCCTTTAAACAAATACCATTTATTTAGCACTCCAGTGAATGGTAAAAGAAAATGAAGACCTTGTTGAGTACTATATAACTTCTTTACAACATATACAAATATGACTCCCATATTTTGGATTTAAATGTTTAATACATGTAATCAGTTACTGTCTATAATTAACAGTAATTCTTCTTTCTTCTTCCCTTAAAGATTTTAAATTTATTTATTGATGAGAGACACAGAGAGAGAAGCAGAGACATAGGGAGAAGGAGAAGCAAAAAAAAAAAAAAAAGAAAGAAAAGAAAAGAAAAAAGAAAAGGAGAAGCAGGCTCCCTGCAGAGAGCCTGATGCAGGACTCGATCCAAGGACCCTGGGATCACGACCTGAGCCAAAGGCAGAAGCTCAACCAACTGAGCCACCCAGGTACCCCATAATTTTTGTTTCTACATGGCTCTCAAATATTGGGATCTTTTCAAATGAAAACAAGATACAAGACAAATGTGAGAATGGTTCTTGTTTCAGGTTTGTTTATTTATTTTTAGAGAGGGAGGAGGGTGCAGAGGGAGAGGAAAAGAGAGAATCTTAAGCAGGCTCCGTGCCCAGAGTGGAGCCCAATGCAGGGCTCCATCTTACAACCCTGAGATCATGACCTGAGCCAAAATCAAGAGTCAGAAACTTAACCAAGTTACCCAGATGCCCCATGTTTGTTTATTTTTTAAACTAACTTGTCCTTTTAAATGTCTTGGTTATAAGAGGACATTGCTTATCTACACCGGATTGTTCACAACCCAGGAAACATAACTCCCTCTGAAGCAGTATATGCCAATGCAGTAATTAGGACAAAAGTAAAGGGGAAATATTTTATTATTTTTTTAAAGATTTTATTTATTTATTCATGACAGACCCACAGAGAGAGAGGCAGAAACACAAGCAGAGGGAGAAGCAGGCTCCAGAGGCCCAACGTGGGACTCGATGCCAGGTCTCCAGGATCACACCCTGGGCTGAAGGCGGCGCTAAACCGCTGAGCCACTAAGGTTGCCCTAGGGGAAATATTTTAGAATCACCTGGAGTTTTTCCAAACCGTACCTTACTACTATCACAACTACAGAAAGCCAGTGCTTTAGAGGTGTGTTGTAGACCTAACAACAAGACTGAAATCAAGAGATTACCTGGAACTAAATTTAGAAGCTATTGTCCTATAAGAGCTGCTAATATAAAGGATCTTTAAAAAAGAGAGTAATGAGGACAACACTGACAGTTTCTGAAGATACCTATATGTGCAAAGGTATTCAGGATATTAGCTAAATATGTAGTAAGGTAATAAACAAAAGGAAGAAATCATTGCTATCACATTTATGCATAAGCAGTGCACTTTCAATTGCTTACCTCCAATATTCTGAATTAGGATGGTACCCGCTACCATCACCTATAAAAGAACAAATGTATTCACAAGATGAAAGAAGAAATAATATAAAAGGATTAGTATTTTAGTAAAATCCAATAACCATGACTAAAAAACAGATACAGAAGCAAAGAGAAATTGAAAAGAATACATTATCAGCCATTTGTAATACATAAAACTAATTATCATCACACAAAAAGCCCCTTTTTAATAGTTCCATAGTTAGTATAAAGAATGCTTTTGAAAATTTTCTTGGCAGTCATTTTAAACAGTTAAAAGTGTTAAAAAGCTAGTAATTGGTGATTATTATCAAAGTAGCAGAAAATTGAAATTAAATCTATCTGGTCTCATTTTCCCTTTTTCACTGCTTCAGTAGGTAGAATGAGACATTGCTTTAGTAGGTAGACTGTTATACCTTCAGGTATGCTGTGCTAATGCTGTTTTGCATAGAAGAAAATTATTATAGTCTTTTGAGTGTGTCAGCATGGCATACACCAAGCTTTTGAACATCCTGTCCCAGGAATTAGTAAAGTCCAGAGCAGAAAACTCTAGAGCCCACATATTCGCAGATCTGAAATTTTAAGAAAATTAGTTCAATCTCAAAAATATGAAGTGGGCTTAGTGTAAGATAATTGAAGGTCACAAAGACTGTAGTCTATTGGAAAACTCCTCCCCTTTCAAAATGGGGCAGCTGCTGTTCAGCTCTGGCCTGTCGCTGGCATGTGGAAATGTGGATCCAATGTACCTATATCTTCTACATTTTTTTAAAAAAGATTTTATTTATTCATGAGAGACAAAGAGACAGAGAGGCAGAGACACAGGCAGAGGGAGAAGCAGGCTCCATGCAGGGAGCCCGATGTGGGACTCAATCCCTGAGACTCCGGGATCACACCCTGAGCCGAAGGTAGACTCAACCACTGAGCCACCCAGGCGTCCCTATCTTCTACATTTTGTTAATATTTCAAGGAAAATCAGAAACTGAACTCTTTCAAAATTTCTTCTTAGTTGGCAATCAGTTAAAAATTAAAAAAAAAATGTAAGCCAAACCAAATATGCCTAAGGACTTAATTCAGTCTATACGTTGGCTAGCTTGTAATTTATTTTTTTTTATTTTTATTTTTTATTTACTTATGATAGTCACAGAGAGAGAGAGAGAGAGAGAGAGAGAGAGAGAGGCAGAGACACAGGCAGAGGGAGAAGCAGGCTCCATACACCGGGAGCCCGACGTGGGATTCGATCCCGGGTCTCCAGGATCGCGCCCAAGGCCAAAGACAGGCGCCAAACCGCTGCGCCACCCAGGGATCCCTAGCTTGTAATTTAGATGAGATTCTTGGGAAACTCAAGACACCTTATCCATTCCTGGTAATCAGGTATACTCATAGGAAATGACTAAACATTCTGCTTCCACTTGGGTCTTCCAATCAGATAAATCTCAATGGATCTGCACACGAATTTATGTTTGGAGTGGACTAGCTATCTAAGATCATTCAGTTCATGGATTGGGAACAGATCACCTTTCAGATTCACCTCTACTAGGAATTCCATCAGTGGCACATCATTTGCTTATCCTGGAAACACTAGAGCCCTTGGGGTCTGCAGAGCAAGGCTAATGACAGGTATCTTTGAAGATGTAGTAGCTGCCACTCTACCTTTTCCAGAAGAAACTTCGCATGTCAACTCATTTAAAAATTAGTTACAAAATGTCACAGTTATTTATGAAAAGACGATTTTGAACTTTTGCACACTATCTTTCATATGCAATTGATATATATTGTCAGTCATACATGAAATTTGTATTTCTACTAATACACTGTAAAAAAGCAATAAGACCAACTTATTCATGATTATCTTTCCATTTTTGCGCTGAATTTAAGCGCTTAAGATCTAGAAAGCCAGAATGTCTATCTACCTATGTTTTAGTGAGTACTACACAGCACATGGCACATGGTATTTACTCAATAAATATTTGTCTGGTGAGTAAACAAATTAATTTATAGATGATTTAAAAAATCTTTCTTAAAAAGTTCAAAATATTTAAAAATATTTAATTCTCAGAACAATCTTATCATGTCCTATCCATTTCTGCATCATATCTGGAAAGAAGGAAATAGGAAAGTTTCAATCCAATTGTGGAAGTGGAGAGAAATAGAAAAAAGGCAAACAAGCAGCAACTCCTCCTTTAGAGTATCCTCTGTCTGTGTACCTGTCTCTTCAGAAGCAAGTGCATACATTAATGATAATGCAACTATTCTAAGAGTTTTAGGGAAAGGGGTCTCTTCATTCTTTTAAATTCTGTTGTTATTCAAGGAATGAAGGAAATACTAATGTGAAATAACAGTGATGGTGCTTAGAGTCATATTTACAGATCATATGAAATTAATTTGAGAGTTTTCTTATATAAATAACATTTTCTTTTTCCTTGGTTAAACTGGATGCAGGAAATGATTATATCTAACATCCCTGTCTTCAGGAAAGAGAAACTGTTATCAGGATGGTTAACAAAACCCTTTACCTTCAAGTACCATATTCTCCATTTGGTTTCAAGTTTCAGGTTATTAAGGTTCAAACCTTGAGGCTACACAGCATGATTTAAATATCTTCCTTTGTACTTTAAAAATAAAGTTAATTTGAATGTAAATACAGGTCCCCTCTCCCCCCACATTAGGTAACTATATCTTTTTTCTCCCAGACTCAACTTCTTGGAAGTTGATTTGGGCATCTACAGATAGTATATCCTTTAAGATTATAAACAAAATAAACAAAAAACCCGAACAACAGATTTATAAATGAAAAGAAAAAGCCCTGTTTGCAACCAACATGAAAATGGGTTTAGATGTATGGTAGATCTTCAGAAACAAAGTACTACAGCACTCACAAAAATATTTTAACTCCTGATTACTTATGGAAGAAAACATTGTTTTCTTTACCTCTCAATTTAGTTTAATACGCCTATCACAAATGAATGCCTAATAAATACAGCTATCATTTCTATTATTCTGAGGAGGAAAAGCAGTTGATTTAGAGGCTGAAATTCTACATGTAATATTGGCTTTAAGAAACTGTGGACAATTTCATTGTCCACAATTCAACCCCTTCATTTTTCTGGGACTTAACTTCTTTACCTATAAAGGAGGGAATAATAGCTTGATCATCTTTTAGCTCTGCTCGGCTCTTAAATGATATAATCTATTTACGTAAATTGTTATGCTATCATCTTAATTCTATGCTTCTTTCTTTTCCTATCTTTATGAAGATTTACTCAGTTAATATAATCAAAATAAATTTAAAAAAAACCTTAATACAGGCTATTGTTACAGTTTTAAGATTATTCAAGGCCCTGCTTTCCTTCATGAGGGTGAAAACTACTAATAAAGTGTTAAGTTTATTGGTGCATTTTTCCAGAAGGGCATATAAAGAAGAAAACAAATCTCTTTGTTTCCCTCTTCCCATCATTCTGTCATTCTTCACTTTAGTTTCCTTTTAGTCCCCTAATTTCTTTCTCTTAGATATACTTGTCTCTTTTAACTAGAACTGGAAGGAGAAAAATGTCTCCTTGGTTTTTGGAAACAGTAAGAAGGAAATTTACCTTTCCAGGTAATCCAAATGCAAAGAGGCCAAGATCTTCATAAGATGTCACAGCTGTTAAAAGAGATTATAATTTTTACTTTTACACAAACCATTTGTGTGCCAGCTCTTAAAGGGAAGAAAGCTATTCTGCTATTCCTTATAGTTATTGGATGGTCACATTAAATTTAAAGCAGAAATAACAGTTCTGGGGAAACTTTTGGACACTTATGATCTCTAAGGATAGAGTCTTCTGGGCACTTAGGTGGCTCACAGGTTATGCATCTGCCTTTGGCTCAGGTCATGATCCCAGGGGTCCTGGGATCAAGCCCCTGCATTGGCTCCCTGCTCAACAGGGAGTCAGCTTCTCCCTCTCCCTCCCCTGTTCCCTCTGCTTGTGCTCTTTCTCTGTCAAATAAATAAATAAAATCTTAAAAAAAAAAAAAAAAAAAGGACAGAGTCTTCTTAGAATAAGTAGAGTTTAGCAAATCCCAAGGTTATCCAATCACTGCCCAGGCTGCATAGTTCAAATGCACTAATTTCTCAAGAACCCCACTTCTCCCTAAACAGTACTTGCATACTACACCATCGAAAAGCAAGTTTTCACTGGCACTAATTTCTGAAAACTGTGTATGTGAATAAAATTAGATAAAGTATGAAAGTTGTGTCATACTTTCAGAGACACTCACTTTTCCTTACTCCATAATTAGTAGGGCATACATTTTCTTTTTTCATCATAAAAGAGTATGAAATTATATTTTCATTCCACATATTCAAGAAATGTGGGCACAGAAAAGATGGAAATTAAATGGCTCATAAAAGAACCAAATTTGTCCTCAGCCTGTATAGCTTTGTGTTCTAACTAATGACACCACCAGTAAAAATGAGAAGTAAAAACATTTATGTAATCCTATAGTTTGAAAAGTGCTTGACCTTACAGAAGCAGACTAGCAGATGCTAAGGCTTGTTACAGCAACACACTTCTTCCATTCAGTTCAAGATATGGTTTGCCATTTTTTAAAGCAAGTTTTAATATATTTTCTCAAGACACATATGGGGTTTCTTTAAATTGTCACTAACTTAACAAAAAAGCTCCTCTGTACTTTTGTATACAAGAACCACTGGTTTGTAAAATTAAGCATTTTAAAAGAAAGCCACATGTGGCCTTTCCATGGTGTATCTACAAGGTTGGACAGAAATCTGAAATGTTGAAAAAATACTTTACTATTTAAGAACAAAAATTTTAACATTTTTAGTTGCAAAATTCAAATTATTAACTTTAATCTATCATTAGAGTTGATGGACGACACAGCTATTTTTTAAAATGTATTTACCTACTGCTAAACACAGTGGACACAGATAATTTAGTTTTGAATTTGGGATATATAATTTGATTATAAGTAGGAACCTTTACGCTTTAACAACGAAAGACTTCTACCGTAATCTTACAGGGGTAGATTTGGGATATATTTTATAACATAAAAATTAAAAAGTAGAGTTACAAAACTAAGAAGTGGATTTTTTTCCTCTTATGTGAAATGCCAAAATTCTTTTTCCCAAATATACGTATTCTAAAGTGAATGTCATCAAAAAAATTAACAATTATTTTAGTCGATAAATCTTTACTAGTTTTAGTTTTCTTAAACATAATTGATAATATATAGGGGCACAATTCCTTAAATTTAATATTCCAAAGCCTTCCAAATTTAATTAAACCAGAAAAACTATCTAAATGTTAGCTTCTATCTAATTTGACATAGAGAAGTAAGTTTGCTAAATATTATGTGTATGTGAACCAAGTCGCCAGAAGGTCTCTGATCTGTCACTGAAGTAGGAGATTAAAGGAACATCGTTGTTGAATTTTAGCACCTCTCTTTTATATTATAGTTAAAACTATCTGTTCTTTCTTAAGAAAAACTTTCCTTCCAAGAACTTAAAGCAAGGAGGCTTTTCAGTGTCACAAATAGGAATATATTGAATAACTTGCTTTTAAAATGACCTATGTAAAAAAAATAAAAATTAAAAAAAATAAAATGACCTACGTAGAGTTTTTCAGTCAATGAGCAAGTTATCAAGATGATACTGATCTAAAAGTTTAAGGTTTGTTTTATTTTTTAATAGCAGAAAACAAGTATAGACTGTACACTTAGTAAAAAATGAAAAGCAAGTAACTTTCCCATAAGCAAAAGTCATAATACGGAAAGATTCCAAAAGGAATTGGTATTTCTATTACCTAAATAAACATTCTTAATTTTCATATTTTAACACAACTTTTATTATTACAAAAAATATCAAACTAATAGCTTAATAAAGATAAATATACTTGCAACTTCTGACAGTAGTGGCATACATTTTAGCAATCTCAAACTTGTTCTCTATTACTTTTTAATTTTATAAAAAAAAATCTCTACAGCAAACTCCCAAATTTAGAGTGAAAAATGTTTAGACTTTTAAATGGTGACTGAGACAATGTTCAAATCTTCACTTTATCTTTCAAATCAGCATGTCTGGCTAGCCATTCAGTTTTGTCACTGTCATCATACTTCTTTTATGTTGCACAAATTAGAAGCATTTTCCCATGTTTGAGACACCATGAGTATAAATAATGGCTTCTGGCTTGAGGCTTTACTAAAATATGTACACAGTCAGCCAAATGCTTTATCTCTACATATTCTCTTTTTAATAGCTTTCTGGATCATCTCAACATATAAACCAAAAAAAACAACCCTAGAGATATATTTTTAAAGTTCTGTTCTATCATTTGGGCAGTTAAGATGCTAGTAGTAGTATAAATTGGTATGATGTTTGGAATGCAGTTTGAACATTGAAACTTTAAAATATTTATAACATTTTGGGGTGCCTGGGTGGCTTAGTTGGTTAGGCGGCCAATTCTTGATTTTGGCTCAGATCATGATCTCAGGGTTGTGAGATCAAGCCCCTTGTTGATGCTCCACATGGAGTCTGCTTGTTCCTCTCCCTGTCCCTCCCCATCCCACTCACACATGCACACACATACATACTCACTAACTCACTCCTCTCTCTCAAATAAATAATTTAAAAAAATAAAAAATATAGATACTTATAACATTTTCCCCCTAGGAGCTTGCATCTTAGGAAATAAGACTAAAATCAGAAAATATTATATGCAAAGATCACCATGCATAATTTACACTGAAAAAAAAGCAACATCACAAACTACTTAAATATTCAACAATGGTAGTGGTTAAGTAAATTATAGTAGGTATACCTGATACAGTAATACGTAGCCATTACAAATTATGTTTATGGTAACATGGAAAATGTTAATTTTGAGTGAAAAAATTAGATTCAAATATGATCCATAAAATAAAAAACATAAAAAGAGTAGGATGAACTATAAACTAGTAACAATGATTCTATAGTCTTTCTTTGTCTTCCTTTTTTGGGGGGGGGCATTCAAATATTCTACAATGACTAGAATAGGGTGATGGAACTTTAAAAAACCATACCCCTTGAATAGTTCTATTTCCTCCACCAAATATTGGATAGGGTTGATTTAAGCTGCAACTTTCAATTTCTCTAGTGTTTAGTAATTTAAGTGTCATTTAGCTTTCTAATAAGGAATATTTTTTTGCTCTTTCATATGATCAATGTTTTAATATCTTATTTATAAAGTGAAAATGTTTTGAGAGATCTCAAAATAAGATGTGGTAATGACCAGTCACATTAGTAGCATATTTCTATAGAATAGGAATAACATTAATTATAAAAATTATAAAATTAATTCAGTCTTTTACAGGAAACCATACAAGCAGTACTTGGCACAATTCTCCTTAAATAAATAACTGAAAGCAGTCGTTAGCAATCTATTTTAGGAAATTATTTTTTGATATTAAAGAAATCAATGCAATGTTTTCAAGAGGCAGAAAGGCTGTAAATCTTAACAAGTAAATTGGGGGAAAATTTCTTCTTTAATGTACCATCAAGGCACACTTTAGTGCTATTTTGGCTAGACCAAGAGTTTGGCCTCCTCACGAATCATTTGGAAAGCTGCTTCCCATAAAGTCATGGAATATTTCCAACTAGTTACTCCAGTGTTCTGTCTGCTATGCATTTTTTCCTCAATGAAATAGGACAATTAATAAACTCTGGTTACAGTACAAAGCCCAAGTTTCAGCAGCAGCAATATTATCTTTGGATCTGAATTGAGGGATATGAGTTATTCAAATACAGTTCAACTCTCAGAAAGTTGGCCATTTGGAATGCACCCTTATTGTTCTGAAATTCTGTTCTTTCTTGTGCTTTCCATCATTTTCCTCTCACCTCTTCTCCCTAACAGTGTCATGCAGCTCATTCTCTTATTGAGTGTCCACTATGCAACTGTATGGCTACTTCTGATCTTTCTCAATATGTAATTAAATGTCAGTTTACCCCCTAAGTGCGACATGATTTTAGAGAATTCGATGCAGGAAAAGGAAATAGAATGCTAGAATACCAGAAACATTCTCCTTTCTAGTGGCACAGAGGTTGTGATATTGCGTGTATAGATAAAGTTCTAGGATCCTAATATCTGCCAACTGCTTGGCTCTGCTGTGAACATTTACATTTACATAGTCTTATTGCTATTTATTAGTTTTCAACTTTTAGACTCAACTTAAAGATAAAACGTGAATGACTTACATATGATTACAAAACAGTAAGTAAATATTGTCAATCTTGGCAATATAAAGGTGTAGCAGGGAAATATGGGAAGTATGGGAAATAGAGAGAGGACAGGTGAGAGAAAGGAAAGCAGCACTAATATCAAATAGCGGATAGTCAAAGGATGCTGTCTAAGGTCCATGAAACAAAAATAAAAATATAAGTATTAGAGTTACAAAATAATCAGCCCACCACAGGTAGGTTATAATGCCTATAGGAATTCCATTTCAGATAGTAAATGCAGCATTTAGATTTTTAAAAAGATTTTATTTATTTATTCATGAGAGACACAGAGAAAGAGAGAGAGGCAGAGACACAGGCAGAGGGAGAAGCAGGCTCCATGCAGGGAGCCTGATGTGGGACTCGACCCAGGGTCTCCAGGATCACACCCTGGG